ACATTGTCCCTGCCTGGGGTTTCTATGAACACGCTTTATGTTAGTATGGTAGTGTTGCCACTAAGTCAAAATTCTGAAAAGTAGAGCACTATTGCGTTTAATATTTATCATAGAGTATGAATCAATATCAAATTTAAAGTTAGTCTGGTTATTTGGATGGACTCATCATATCTTGGGAACAAAAAATCCCATTATTTTACACTTAACAGTGAAGGTCTTCAATTCCTATATAAAAAATATGTTTATGGAATAAGATCATATGCATTAAATGCCATGAACAATATTTCATATCTATAACCAAGCTCAAATAATAAACATGATGCAGAAGTGAAATTTCACACACAGAAATAATATGAAAGTGTAAATCCAGATCTGTAAATGAAGACAGATCGTAATCTCAGGGATGGTAGGCAAGAGCCATGCAGAAGTGGTTTCAACTTTGTATACAACTGCATTCAAGTCTCTTGTTCAACAGCTCTGCGATTAAAAATATTATTTCAAAGTCTGACTGAAAGTTTGTGATGTTAAGATTTTTTTCAAAGATAGATCTTTTTGAAAAGTAATCTAATAACATTGCGGATGTTATAGCGTAGTAGTGAATAAGACTTGAGAGAGCAGTTGTAATGGGGAAGCAAGACACAGCAGCAGCAGCAGCAGCAGCACCACACTCTGGGACCAGGGCCGTCTGCGGGCTCTGGAAACCCAGGTACCTTGGCATCATGTGGAGGGAAGTCTGTCTGAAGCAGGCGATGACTGCACGTTTCCTCTGGATAGACACAACAGAACGCCAGACCTCCTTGGAGGACTGCGGGTGATCAATCTGTCGGGCCGCACCAGTGTTATTTATGTGTTGAAGAAATGCAACAGGAGGAAGTAAGCTCCATCAAAACCAATATAAAAAAAATTCCTATTTTTGAATGCAAATACTCATACTTTACACGCATATTACAAGCAGTTGTTATTGAACACGTGTGTCAGTTGACTGTGTTAGGGCAAACATCCTTCCACAGACCTCGTCCATATGTATTATTCTTCTTCACTTGGGAAAGAAGTTGAAAAATTAACTTTACAAAGCTTATTTTATTCTCATGGATTAAAATCCTGCTTAGCTCATCTTGCACAGCTCAGCTTGCACAGTTCAACTTGCACAACTCAACTTAGCATCTTCAGAGGAAAAAAGCGTAACGAGCGCAAAATAAGAATACAACAATGTGCATTGTCCATGTGAGGGAGGTGGTTATATTGCCAACATTACAGGTTAATGACCTGCATTCTCATTGGTCGGCTGGGGCAGCTCTCGGCTGTTTTTTTGAAAGAAGGATGAATCTAGATATAGGCTGGCTAATGATAATTTCTAGAGTGTGTTTGATGTGAAGTGATCCTGCTATGTTTAGACTAATTGTGGCTGTATCTATTGATTATTCTAATGTTGCTGGTCAGGATCTCTGGTGATACTTTCGTAGAAATAATGTGATCTTTAATAGAGCCATGTTGTATACAGTATACATATTGAAGTAAGAGATGCATATATACACTGAAAGAGATGCTGTTGTCCAGCCTATACTTGAGAGCACTGAGGCTGACAGTCCACAAATTAACATATAAAAGCGCAAGCAATACTAGTCTCTTTCAAGGCGTTGTGGATTTGTCGGCTAGTTCAACATTTTCAAGTTCACAGTCTTCTAACTCTTCTAGCAAACAGTGAGCTATATCAAGAGATTAAGTGTTCGTAGGGGTCACATTGCTGCCAATTATGTCCTCTCCATGACACTCTCCTCTGGCTCACGAGTCTTTCTAGAAAAGCAGTTCCTATGGCAGGGTTTTGTAGCTGAGAAGGTTCTGTTGTGTTGGCTTCCTCAGTGGTAGGATGGAAATTAATCTTTCTTTTGATGACCTCTTCCACAAATCCATTAAACAAAATTAATTTATTATGTAATCTACTTTTACTGTGCCTTGAGGCATATTGAAGGAATTATTTATGAGCATTTTGATTCGGAAATTACAAAAATAGTGGTTCTCCAAAACCTTAACCACCATATTTCCTTCCTTCCGAAATGTTGATGTGCCAAACAGAAAAAGACTGAAACCCTGAGGTAAATGTGGAAAAAGATGAAAGTACTGTGAACTTCTGAAAAATTACACAAAACTAAGCAGAAATATATATAGTAAAACGTGCATTTGAACTGTTGAATTTTTTTTGCATGCAATATGTGTTTTCTGAGGGAAGCCCCGTTGGCTCCCCAGAACTATCCAGGCTGGTATGTTATTAATAGCTTTCTGGCATCAATCAAAGTGCATGGAGTTCTTGCCTACTGGAGACCACGAGCCAGAACCTGGCCCCCCTCAGAGAGGCATGAGGAGCAATGGCCTATTGAAACCCCCGTGTGGTTGGGAGCATTCTATGTCTGCCATTAACCGGGTCTGGCACCCCAGAAAGATAGGCGCCCCAAAACAAATCCCTATTCCGGTGAAAATATTGCTACCGAAGGCCGAAAGAGTGGACATGGATGGATGGATGGATGCGACCCTTGAGTCCCCTCTGCTTCGTGCGAGAGTGATGATTGCTCTGTCCCCTTGTCTCAGGGTGACAATCACCGGTTGTGCCTCCGCCAAGCTGCCTGTCAGGTCGGTGATTCTTTAGACCCGGAATCGTGGGACGTTTATTCTTTGTACGTGCTCCAGTTCACCCAAGCTACTGAATATATGAGGGTGCAGGCAGCAGAGGCTGCCTGCCATGCTCGGTTTAGGTTGCTCCAATGCAATAGGTTCGTTGTTTCCCCAGATGCCCTGAGACTGCCCCGTTTTGGTTATAGGGGCCCGGGCTTGGGGGTAAAAGTCGCTTCAACTTTGGTTCCATTCGCCCCTCCTTGTCCTTCCCCTTCAGTGGTTCATTCAGTTCCCCCCACCCCCCTTGCTGCCGGTTCCAAAACGTCTGAGGGTTCCAGAGTCGGGGCAAAGTTTAGTTGGTGTTCAGACTTGGGAGGTATCAGAGGAGTTCCCTTCCGTGGCGACGGAGGCATTTGAGCCTAGTCCTCCAACTGGAGCATCTAAGTCTGACCATTGGGCCCCCTTCGTTCAAACTTGTTCGGCTGCTTTATTTAGAGGCGGGGGGGGGGGGGGAGGGAGAGGTAGGTTTGGAGGATAGGTCGGCCCCGGGTCCTCAGGGTGAGGTTCCCGGGGCAGGTCCACCTTTTGTTGGGAGCCGGGCACTTGGATGGCATCCGTGGAACTCAAAGATGCATATTAGAATGTCCAGATTCATTCAAGGTTCAGGGACTGGCTCGGTTTTTTTGTGGGGCGTCAAGGTTACCACTTTCGTTGCCTTCCATTCGGCTTCAGTCTGCTGCCTTGCTTTTTCACACACCTTACTCTGGTCGTGGTGACCCGCCTGCGTCTGTTAGATGTTCGGGTTCTGGCCTATCTCGACGACTGGCTGGTTTGGGCCTCAAGCCAGTATGCATGTCTGCTTGCCAGGGATTTGTGTCTTTCCCAGCTCACCGGGTTCGGGTTCTTGTTGAACTGGTGGAAGTCCCATCTGGTTCCCTCTCAGGTTCGATCTTGGCTGGGTCTTGTGTGAGACACTCAGACCGCTTCCTTGTCTCTTCTTCCGGCAGATCTGCTTTGCCTGCGTTCCCATCTTCATCTGTTCCTGAGGGGCTCCCGGGTCACCCGGCAGTTGCTTGAGGGCATGTGCAGGAGCCTGAACTTTGCCATGATGGTCTACCCACTGGGTCGGGTGTGGCTTCGTCGACTGTTCTGGTTCCTTTGGGGACGTCCCTTCCACCTCTATCCCGGCCACTGGGTTCAGCCTCTGGGAGCTTTGCGTCGAATGCTGCGTCACTGGCTTCCTCTTCGTTTTTTGGGGGGTTCAGTGCCTTGGTACCTACCCGAGCCCTTGCTCGTTGTGTTCACGGATGCGTCGTCTCTTGGCTAGGGCTTTGTGACCAGTGCTCACCAGGCCAGCTAGGGATGGTGAGGTCTCTCCTTCTGTCGGGCTCACACCACGGTGCGGGAGTTTACAGCTGTGTGGATGTCACCCGGAGGGTTCGAGTCGCTCGTGGATCGACGATCCGGTTCCATTTGGACTGTTCCCTGCTGGTTCATTGCCTGAACCGAGGGGGGGTTCCATGCGGTCCTTGATTCTTTGGGGCTGGTCGCTTTGGGTTACTCGTCTGCTGAGTTCTCGGGGGTTTGGCTTTCCTGGCAGTTCACGTTCGAGGGTTGTCCAGTATCCTGGCGGATGCCCTGTCCTGGTTCATTCCCCTGTCCACGGAATAGACAGTCGATGCCATCTCGTTCAGTTGGCTCTGCTAAACGTTTGGGCCTCTGGAAGTGGAACCCTTCGCGTCAGCATGGTCGAGGCATCTCCCGGTATACGTAGCATCCCCTTCCCCACTACAAAGCCATCGGAGTCAATGCCTTCAGGCAGGACTGGGCAAGGTGGATTTACCTGTACCTCTTTCCCCCGGTTCAGCTGTTGCTCCAGGTCCTGGCTCGCTTGGAGACTTACCAGGGAAGAGTTGTCCTTCTGGCTCCTTGGTGGCCGGCCCAGCCTTGATTTCAGGTGCTGCTTGCTCGGTGTCCGAACCCACGGGTCTTCCTGCAGCTCTGCATCTTTCTGCAGATCAGTCCAACCCGGTACGAGGTCGGTTCGTTCTTCTCCTAGAGTTTTCACATCTGGAGTTTCTCACTCTAGTCTATCATCACTTGTATGGGGCACAGGCGGCTTTGTTGTTTGTCTCCTACCTGTGTGCTTTGTATCGCTGGAGTATGAAGTTTCCTGGAGGTCCTTCCGGTTTTTCTTATCACTGTGTAGGTGTACTTCGATCTCTGATAGGGTTGTTTTGTCCTTCCTTCCTTTCATGGTTGTTCCAGGACCGTCATCTTGTGCCAAATACTGTCGCCTCTTATCATGAGACGCTGATGGAGCTTCTCCAGCTTGCTTTCGGTATTGATGTTACTTCTGCCCCATTCTGCAAGCTGTCTCATGTGTTGTTTCACCTCTGGCCTGCTCGTGCGCCTCCTGAGCTGTCCTGGTCTTTGGACCAGGTGCTCTCTTTCCTTTCTTCTCCTCGGTTTGTTGTGGCCCCTTTGATTCATGATTGTTTATTCTAAGGGTCTTTTTCCTGTTGGCATTGGCCTCTGGGGGTCGGGTTGGGGAGCTTCATGCTCTCTTCTGACACAGGGGTTTCTGCTCCTTCTGTCCTAGTGGTTGGTTTGTTCGGTTGTAGCCGTCTCCTTTTCTAGCGAAGAATGAGACTGCTGCTTTCCGGAGGGGTCCTTGGGTTGTTAACGCTTGGTTGGTCAGGCCAGGGGTGCATCATGTGTTGTGTCCGGCTGCTGCTCTCGGCCGTTATTTGCGCGCCACGACTTCGGTGGTCGGGGATGCGCGCCACGACTTCGGTGGTCGGGGATGCGCTTTGGGTTGACCTGGTTTCCCTCCTTCCCTGTTCCTGGGCTCGGGTCCCCTCAGGTTGTCGGCAGGATTATTAAGCCTAACCAGCCTGCGGTATATCTCCATTCCCACGACGTTCGTAAGTTTGATGCTTTGGTTGCCGTCTTTGGCAACATGTCTTGGGTTGACATTCGGGCACGAGATTTTTGGATGTCGAACAGGGTCCTAGCCGCTCCCTTCCTTGTCAATGTCCCTGGACCTGGTAGGGCCTGCGTTGCTTTGGGTCGGCAGTTGCAGCAAGTTGTCTCAACTTTGCGTTGAGGAGAGAGGACTGACTGCCTCATGGGTATGTCTCTGTGTTTTTCTTTGTCTTTGGGTAGTTAGCTCCATTTTCTAGGTGAGACCCAGAGGCTTCCTGGCATCTCTCCCCTTCCTCCGGTCGGTGGTGTTTTTGTGAGTTTTTGACATCCAGCCTAAGAACTGCCGGTTGGATCGCCGGCACGAGTGTCTGGGGCTCACCCTTCCCCCTCCCAGGAAGAGAGTGTTGCGCAGACAGCGGCACGGCAATTTGATGACGTCATGCTCGTTTGCTAATTTTTGTTGGAGAGTTCTGTCTATTCATTCAGCTTTCCGTAACAATTTTTTTTTACCAGAATAGGGGTTTGTTTTGGGGCGCCTATCTTTCTGGCTGCCAGACCCGGCAGATGGCAGACATATAATGCTCCCAACCACACGGGGGTCTGTAATAGGCCATTGCTCCTCGTGCCACTCTGAGGGGGCCAGGTTCTGGCTCGTGGTCCCCGGTAGGCAAGAACTCCATGTACTTTGACTGATGCCAGAAAGCTAATAGTTACATATCAGCCTGGATAGCTCCGGGGAGTCTCCGGGGTCTCTCCCAGAAAATGGAGTTTTGTTACATTCAATGCTGTTTTTTTAATCAAATAATTCAACAGATTGTAAATAATAAAATTAATAATATTGAAACAAAAATTATAGATGGGAAGCAATACTGATATATACACCTTGGCAGGCTCAGGTGGTGGAATCGGGAGTGGTAAGCCACTTATTCTGAGAAATAAGCAGAAGCCTTTACTGAAGAGAGGAAGTATTGTAAGTAGGGAACATTGAGACAGAAGTAATGTAAGTAAGGAATACTGAGACAAGTAATGTAAGTAGGGAACACTGAGACACAAGTAATATAAGTAGGGAACACTGAGACACAAGTAATGTAAGCAAGGAACACTGAGACAGAAATAATGTAAGTATATAGGGAACACTGAGACAGAAGTAATGTAAGTATATAGGGAACACTGAGACAGAAGTAATGTAAGTATATAGGGAACACTGAGACAGAAGTAATGTAAGTATATAGGGAACACTGAGACAGAAGTAATGTAAGAATATAGGGAACACTGAGACAGAAGTAATGTAAGTATATAGGGAACACTGAGACAGAAGTAATGTAAGAATATAGGGAACACTGAGACAGAAGTAATGTAAGAATATAGGGAACACTGAGACAGAAGTAATGTAAGTATATAGGGAACACTGAGACAGAAGTAATGTAAGAATATAGGGAACACTGAGACAGAAGTAATGTAAGAATATAGGGAACACTGAGACAGAAGTAATGTAAGTATATAGGGAACACTGAGACAGAAGTAATGTAAGTATATAGGGAACACTGAGACAGAAGTAATGTAAGTAGGGAACACTGAGACACACTATACAATGCCTCTGAGCTGCCAATAGTGTGCGAGGCTGGCTGGCCTGGCGGGCAACTCACAATGTGGAGACCGTAGAGAACTTTGGCCATGGCGACGATGCGGTCGACTGTGTCGTCGACGGTAGGCACCAACTTTTTATCATCATCGTCTTCTCTTGGGACACGACCTCCACCCAGGCGAGAGTAGAGTGTGTGTTGCCAGTTCATTGCGTCAGATGGGTCGAAGTTGTCAGGCAATGTGAGCTGAGTCTTGGAAAAGTCTCGGATCTCTACCTCTGAAATTTTCTGTTGAAATGTGTGAAATAGACTTACTTTAGTGGATAAGTGTTTGATACATTCCATGACTGCCATTACCATAAAGTAATATATCACAAAAAGGTTGTAAAGACACAATGAACTTTCGCATACAATTCAAAACATTATATTAGACAGGCGTAGGCTGAACAGTAACAATGACAACAATATAGAAAAAACAAAAGGTGGAAGTTAACTTTGTTTGGAGACACTTGTGAATTCTTCATCAAATATAACAAATATACACAGACATATCGTGGTTACATTGTTCTTATTAGTTACCCTTCTAATGAAGATGTTGACAATATTGTGCATAACATCTTTGATTTTAAATGGTCAATTGTTCAACATACTACAAAAATATATTACATTGTTAATATAAAAAATATATGCTCGGATTACATACATACATACATACATATATATATACACACATAATCTGAGCATTTTCGAGGTTTAACACATTTTCAAGGAATAGATACTGTCAAAAGGAAGACTTCGAAATCAGGAAATTTGTTAGCCTAGGCAACATGAAGTAGCTAATAAACATATATAGAGCAACATTCTGTTAATACATTTCAGTTAAGAGGCCAGGTGCTCAAAAATATTTGTCCAAATATGAAAAATTGTGAAAACTGTCAAACAAATTTTACGTTATTTGACATCAGCCTCGTGAAAAATTTCATCCTACTATGTTAGGAAATGGATTTTATGTGAATATTTAAAAAAACATTCTGATGATGAGGAGAACAGCTCCTATTGACTGGAACTGAGGGATAATGCAGTTATAAAGAGATGCAAGCACCTGTCCAGTGCACAAAGAAGAATAGTAGTAAGGAGGGTCCACAAAGTGGATATGTAGCGGGTGCGTTTATAGCATTACTGAATAAAATATAATAACACAAATAATAATGAGTAAGTATATTATTTTGCTGTATTTTGTTATATATCATATAAATACATTGTCTAGTGCCAATATCTGATAGTTTCATCAATGTCCATTTTTTTTTTAATTTGTTGTTCTTGTATTTTGTCTCCTTTGTTTATAATCTGATTTTGTTGCAGCTTCTATATCTTGGAGAATACATACCCATCACTGTGTATGTGAAGAGTGAATGACATTATGCAACAAGTTAATCAGCCTCAAGTGGCAAAAGTTGTGACTTATTTATGTTTTGCCCAAAAGATGTACAGATTTGAAACTCTATTCTCTTTGCCTTTTTAGGTTGAACTGGTGAATGGGGACCAGATGCGAGCCTTATCACTTATATAAAATATACTTATTATCCTTATTAACCTATTATCCTTATGCTTATATCTGTTTTTTTAGGGGGGTTATTTTTTCTTGATTTCATTTCAACACATAGTGACCTACAACTTTATCATATTCGTATACGAATACCAAACAATGTTTATTATAACATACAAGTAAATTGATAAAATAGAACTACCATATTCATTGTCGATAACTTCAACTTTAATTATCTCTAAAACAGGAATTTCAACTTTGAGCCTGAATAATGTTTCCAAGTCCAAGTTTCTGAGCGATTCTCAGCAATTTTACATAGTGTGTGTAACGTTCTTAGTTCTAAGGTTACATTTCTGCCATTTATTCATAAACCCATAACCTTGGGAGTTATCCATTTTTGGCTTCTAAATTTTGCACATATTTGAAGGCCACGCTGACTACTTATTTTTGTTCTTGTTTATGTTATGATATTGATCCATTAGGAAAAGTTGGAGCATTTACCATGTAGATTATGCACAATATATTTGAGAATGTTTGAGGAAGGTTGATAAATTGCACTCGTGGCCCCTTAATCCTGGAGTAGTACGCTGCCACACATGGATATGCAGCAGGCTATGGTTTCTGGATAACAGATTTTTCTTTTCCAATAACTAATTGGTTGGAATAAATGGGTTGCTATACTCACCTAGTTGTGCTTACAGGGATTGAGTTTCGGCTCTTTGGTTTCGTTGCTCACCTATCAATCAACTGGTGTACAAGCTCCTGAGCTTATTGGGTTCTATAATAGAGTATATATATTTGTAACTGTGTATGGAGTCTGCCTCACATCACTGCTTCCATTTGTTAACTACTCTGACACTGAACAAATTCTTTCTAATATCACCGTGGTTGATTTGAGTACATGCACTAGGTTTCCACCTGTGACCCTTATTCATGTTCTATGCAACATGAACAAGGGGATATTAGGAAGAACTGAGGATACGTGGCAGAGTGTCTTCCTGTAATCCCAGCTGCCGACCTGTCAGCAGGGATTCACCTGTATATTTACAAGGTGTAGACTCAGTAGTTTTTTTTTTTAAATACTGAAAAGCTGGAATTTATAATTTGTCTCAAGATATTAAAAACTGAAGCATATTTTCTCCTGAGACAGGAATAGAATACTTATTATACCAACCGCGAGGAACTTTTCTTTGCAGTGCTGCACAAGTTCTTGTTCCCTGCCAGCAAAGAGATTAAGGCCTACGGGGAGGAGGCGCTTGAGGCAGGCCACCATCAGCGAGGAGGCTAGCTCCTTCTCCTTGCTCGCCTTCTTCCCACCCGTTCGCTTCTTCTTTTTCTGAAATTATAATAACAACATGAATTACCGTCAACTCTTTATCATGTGTCTGGCATGCTGGATTTAAAGCCGATGTTATCACTAATTTTAAACAAATTTGCGTGATGACTGGTGGGAACAATGGGAATCTTAGAGAAGTAAAAAATTGGATGCATACATAAAAAAAACTGGTTGAGTATGTTCATGCAAATTAAGATTGGCAATGGCTGGTGGGTGCTTAATATCTCGTTATGTTAATTTCTCCAAAATTGTCTAATTTTATACTTTTTAATAATAGTTTTTATTTATTTATTTTAACAAATTATAATACATTAACAAAGCATCAGTCATTTTAATTAATTTATTATATTTAGAATTATTTAGGTTATTCCATCTTTTGCAGCACCTTTTGCCATGTTATTTGTTGTGTTTTAGTTACAGTGGTATTTGTTGTTTTAAACTAAACACAATTTATATTCCATACATGTATTTATATATGCCATAGTAAACAATTAATGTAAAAAGTCTAGTTATCGACGACAACCATGAAGCTCACACCAAGGATATCAGGGACATTTTATATAAAAAACCTAACCAATGGATTTTCAAATGCAAGTATTAATACTATGAGTAAAAGTAAAGGGAGTTTCATAATGTTATATAGTAATAGGAAACTTTCACTTCAACACTAACTCAAGAGTTTAAAAAGTAACCAAAACACATGATATGTCAAGAGTCATAAACAGTATTATGTTCCCCACTCTGCACTTCCCACGTTATACAGTACTACTCAAAAACTTGTTGGCAGTAACCCTGCAGAAATCATATCTACAACACAGTCTGTTTACAAACAGCATTCATTCCCATGCATCAGATCCATAAACCTTCTTAAAATTCACACACTGCATACTGTCTACTTTGGTCTTTATACTTCCAAACTAACCCATACTAAAAACATTTTCTAAAAGGTAGTTTATAGAACATATGAACTTCTGACAATGCATTATATACCTTTGAAATTCCTTGAATCCGACCAAATCTATACAACACTCCATGCATATAAAGGAACAAACAATACGGAACTCTCTTCCTAATGCAACAAAGAGTTGATCAATCTTTTCTTTATTCAAAAGTAGCTAAAATAAACATAAATATTTAAATTATAACATTCAAACACTTAAAAAAGGTACACCACACAAAATCTGAAGTCAAATTACAAAATATGTTTATTTTAATAACTAGTTAATTGCAATTTTAAAATTAAATTGCGGCTAAATTTTTCAGAATGTTACGAAGTTCCTTACCTATATGGTTGCTTAGGGTATCCAAATAATAATATTTAATATTAAGAATTGAGTTAGGGCATGTAACAATTTTAACATCACGGGAAAAGTATTAATACTAATAATTAAAAGTATTAAACTGAAAACTTAAAATCTAATTAAATATTTTGCCTGGAAAAGCATTAGATTATAATATGTAATTACGTGACTTTTCTGGGGGGGAGCCCCGTCGGCTTCCCGGAGCTTTACCAGGCTGATATGCTAATGTCAGACTTTGACATCAGTCATGTGTATGGTGTTACTGGGCCTACCGGGGACCACGGCCAGAACCTGGCCCCCCTCAGAGAGGCAAGGGGGAGCAATGGCCTATAGAAACCCCCGTGTGGTTGGAAGCATTCTATGTCTACCATCAACTGGGTCAAGCATCCAGAAAGGTAAGTATTCCAAAACAAACCCCTATTCTGGTTAAAATTGCTACCAAAAGCCGAACTAGTGGATGTAACTCCCCAACAGAAAACAAGCAAACTAGTATGACGTCACACGTCATCGCGCCGCTGTCTGCGCAGCTTCCCCCTCCCCGGGAGGGGGAAGGGGAAGCCCCAGACCTCCCACGCCGGCTATCCACCCATCAATTCTTTGGCTGATGCTATGGGCACCGGTTGTGTGCTCCGGCTCCGGTAGTTGTATCAGCACTGTACCTAGAGTGTGGTGTCTGTCTTCTAGCCGGGAGTGAGTCTCCAGTACTCGGGCTGCATGCGCCTAGGGTTACCTTCCCTAGGTGTCCTGTAAGTACTGCCCTTGGGGCTTGGGGCCACCTTCCACAAGTTCCTAGGGTTCTGCCCCTGCTAGGCCGTTTACTGCTTGTGTTCTGAGTATTTTTCTGGTGGTTCCCCCTGCTAAGTCCCCGTGAGTGTACACGTCCCGGGGGTTCAGCTCTTAGAAAGTTGTTTGGTAGGTTTGGGCGCCGGTTAGCAGTACCCTGCCTGAGATTACCTGAGCGCAAGTCCTCTTATAGTAAACGCTTGAGACCCTGGGAAACCCCTGGGGGCGCGCGGGTCCGACGGATGTGACCCCAGAGTGCCCCTTCGCTTCCAGCGAGTTTGAGGTTTGCTCTCACCCCTTGTCTCAGGGTGACTCTGTTTTGCCTCCGTCTGCTGCCTGTTGGGTCGGTGACACCTTCGACCTGGAGTCAGGCGCGTTTTGTTGCTCGTTGTGGCTCGGTTACCCAGTTGTGCTGACTAAGCGGTGCGGGCAGTAGGGGCGTTGCGCTTTGAACCTTGGTGATGGCAATGCTCTCGTTCATTTGCTCCCCGGGAGCTCCGGGGCTGCCCCGTTTTGGTTCGTGTTGGGACTTGGGGGTGCTGGTTGCTTAGGTTCCTTCCACGCCCCCCTTGTCTTTTCCCTGGATCCCCCCTTCCTGCCTACATCCGGTTCCTTACCGTCTGTGGGTTCGGGGCGGGATTTGATGGTGTTAAGACTCGGGCAATCTCGGGGAATTCCCCTTCTGGGGTAGTGATGGGGGCATTTGAGCCTGTTCCTCCAGCCATGTTGTAAGAGTCTGCCAGTGGGCTCCCTTCCTTAGTATTTTCACAGCTGCCCTGGTTTTCTGGTACGGCCGGGGCTTTGGGGGGACGGCTCGGTCCCATGGCCTGTCGTGTAGGTTCCTGGGGCTGGGGAGGGGCTGACTTGGGGGCCTTGGCTCCATAGGACCCCGTGGGGGAGTTTTCTTCCCCTCTAGGCGGGGCTTGTGGTTACGCAGAGTGGGGGTTTTCCCCCCCACTCGCCGTACGTGTTGTTGGGCGTCGGCCCCTTCCCGGGCTCTGTTCCTTGGCCTTTGAGTCAGTTGTTTCCGTCCTGTGGGTGCATGCTCCCCCCCCCCCCTCTTTTTGGGATGGTGTCTTCGTCATGTTTCCCCGTTCTTGGGGTTCTATGTGACTTCTGGTCTCGGGTGCGACTGTGCTTTTGTGTGCCTTTGGGACTGGTGTTTGCTTCTGTCTTCTCGTGGGTTCGGGAAGGTTTTTCGCTATTTCCCGTATTATTGGAACGTCTGTCGGCTCCTAGTCCGGGTCGCCGTATTGGGTTACTTGTAGCCTGGTTGGGCTACTTGTGGCCCGATTGGGCTTCTTGTGGCCCGATTGGGCTACTTGTGGCCCGGTTGGGCTACTTGTGGCCCGGTTGGGCTGCCCATGGCCCAGTTGGGTTCCCTTTGGGCTCTTCGTCTTTGCTTCGTTGACCGGTTTTGTTGTTACTGCTTCCTCTTTTGGCTACTTTTCTAGTGCAGTAGTCCTGGTTGGCGCCTTCCCGCAGAGCGGGTTGTGCGGTTCGGCCAGCGTGTCATGCGCATGCGCCGTGGAGTTTGTTTTGGTCTGGGCGGTGTGTTTCAGTGCTGGTGTATTGCGCCCTTTTTTCTCGAGTGCTTCACCTCTCGCTCTTCTCCCTTGCTCCGGTATGTGCCCCTTCACTCCGGGAGTGTCCTGGATTGCAGCTGCGGGGAGGACGCCGAGGTTTTTCCTGTGTCATGGGTGTGGGTCGCCTCCTTCGCCTCTACCCTGCTCTCCAGCGTGTCCGGCTCTGGCTTCTTCACCTGGCAGTGCTCCCAGGATCTTCTGGGTGCTGTTGGGTCGTGTCACGTTCGTGCCTCCGTTCGACAGGTGAATGAGTTTCTGCGATCTGGCGTTTTTTGGCCGGGTGCTGGATGCGAGGATGTTTATATACCTGTCTTTATTTAGGTATATCTATGTATGACTGAGACAATTCGCACACCAGTGACTGTCCCTTTTCAACCCATCCAGTCCCACTCATGTGCATGTCCAACCCATGCTAGAGTCATTCAGGGGACCCACCTCTTTCGTGTTATGAGGTGTGTGGGTTGTGGTGCTGGTTATGTACTCACCTAGTATGGCTCTTTGGCTGTGCTTGCAGGGTTTGAGCTCTGGCTCTTGGGTCCCGCCTATGTGGAAGAACTTGCGGGATAGTACCAGTGGAGTGCAGTGATGCAAAAGGCACAATCGGGGAACACGGTATAATCATCAGAGGCCTGCGGTTATTACACGTCCTACCTACGAGTATACGCCATATTGCCGGTACATCCGTGGTCTTTCAAGGTACACTGGCCTGTTTTCGAATAGAGGTTCCGGCCCGTCCTGGCTGTGGTGGGTATGTGGGCCTGCGGGCCGCTCCCAGCAGCAGCCTGGTGGATCACCCTCTCACAAGTCTAGCCTAGCCTTGTGCCGGGCTTGGGGTGTAAATTGAACTCCCGGAACCCCATCCAACAGGTATCGAGCAGATTTCTTTGCCGTCGGTCGCCTGGTGTGCAGGTTCTTGGGCCTGCTGGGTTCTGTCGTGTCTCCATTGGCCCTGTCTGGGGTCTGCCTGCACCGTTCTCTGCCTTTTCAGAAGCGAGTTACTATTTACATGTTGCATGTTGCGGTGGTGCCTGTTGTTGCAGCACGTGTGCATTGGTAACATGTTTTGCAGTGGCATGTCCTTGTTCCAGTGTCCTTTTATTGGTGTGGCGCTTTTGCTGCTGTTTTGTACCTAGGGTTTGCGTATGGGGGTTTGCTTTTTATTTTTCGTGGTCTTCGGGTCCCTGGCTGGGCTCTCCCATGTGCGTGGGGTTTCTGTCCCTGCCTGATTGTCCACCCCTGGTTGTTTCCTGGGGTTTGTGCTTCAGCTCTTTCGTCCTGCCTCTCCCCAGTCGCTTTCCTGGCATCTCCTTTGGTCGGTTTTGCCTGCACT